CTTTTCTTTACCCAGAGTTCTTCTTTAGAGTCCATGGGTGCACTCTAAAGTGCACTCTACAAAAGTACCCAAAGCTGATATTCCGTCATGCTTGCTCTACAGCTTTCGGAGAAACATAGTAACTGGCCCTTGATGAACAAATCGGCTGATATGCCAGGAACTGCAGGTGACTCAGGCTGGAGACCAAGCGGGAGGGCCGGTGGCTGCAGATGCAGGATTAGCTTTCCATGGTTGAAAATCTGTATCTGGCAGCTGAGCCATATGGCCCCCGTGTCTCACCCCACTTTATACTCCGAGATAAAAGAAGGGGATTCTGTGCACACAGCCCTTACGTTGGCCAGAAATAGCCAACGTAAGCTAGAATTCACAGTTATCATTATGTCATTCCTAAAAGGAATCTATATTGAAGTTTTTTTATTGAGTGTTTCTACTGCCAGACGTTTCCTTTTTATATTTAAATACCATAAAGAAGAGTTAGAACTTATGTCAGTTCTTTTTCTTCTATTGTTGTGATGACACCCGTACCTTCTCATTTCTTACCCCGGTGTCACCAGCACAGTAAGTAAAGGGGAATCTCCGCAGTGAGGACACGGACAGCAATACAAACTCAAAAAGATCTGACACCTACCCCAGCCCCAGTCTGACTTCCTCTGGTCTACCCCTTTCAATTATGGGATTTCTGTTCTTTCATGGAGGCTAGGTGCATTATCTATGCTGATCTGCATGGGGAGGAGTGGGCATTTCCGTCTAGGAATGCCCACTTCTCCAGATTGACATCCACCCGTCAAGACATTTTGATAGCTGTGGCCATAAGTATTTATCTCCTATGCTCATCAGCTCCATCTAGTGGCCATAATGTGGTATTACATTAGATTACATTACATTCCACCTGAAAAGGAAATATACAGTGGTACCTCGGTTCACAAACTTAATTTGTTCCACGATTCTGGTCGCGAACCCAATTGGTTGCGAACCCAATCAAACTGTGATCAGACCGCGATCTCGACTAGAGGAGGTTCTTTGGCGTTTGCACATGTTTGGGTATGTCTTTTTAAAGGGTACTGAACATTTTGGTTGTGTGCATCTGAGCCTGATGAAGGGGACCCTGTGCGGCCCCCGAATGCGCTTGTACTGGAATGACAGTACTCCATTAATAAATTGACTTTTGTTGATCTCACTCAAATGGTGTGCTGGGGACATCCTTTTGCAAACTTGTATATCTTCACGGCGCCATCCGTGGTCACTGCGAGCACCCACCAGGATTTCAAGAAACAGCAAGTAAGGAGTGCAGCAAGACACCTATATATTACTTTACCAGAGGAAGAAGCGACCATGTGTCAGAGCGTGGAAGATGGCTGCAATTGTGTTCGTCACCCGATGCGGAGTTCGTGAACGGAAGCAAAATTTTGACCGACTTCCTGTTTGTGAGCCGAATTGTTCGCGAACAGAAGCGTTCGTCAACCGAGTTACCACTGTACTAAGGACATTCACTTTTGCCTCTATTCACGCAGAAAGAATGTTCGCAGAGTTTCACAGGGGGAATTACTCTGCGAGATGTTTATAAATAGACCCCTTAGTGTATAACCTTATTATTTTACATTATCCCAGTTGTGCTCCAGTGTTGTCACCCTGCCACTGGTGGAGACTACAGGCAGCTGTGCCATCAGACAATTCATACATATGTCCCACTAATGTCACTGTCAGAAAGCCAGCCCAGAGCAATAATGTACAGCCAAAGCTGCAGCAAGTGCATGCAGACAGGAAGCGGCTGAAAGAGGCTCCAGGAGATCAGCAGCACTGAGATATAACAAAGGACAAGAAAAGGTTGAAAAGAGCATTTAAAAGAAAAAAAAGATGCCAGTTGTTCATGATACCCAAAACCTATGCAAAGTAAATGTTATCACATTAGGGCAGGGGTGGGCACTCCAGCTGTTGTTAAACTACCAGTCCCATGAGGCATTGCAAGTCTCCGACAGCCACATGCATGACTCCCAGAGGCAGAGGCATGATGAGATTTGTAGCTTCACCACAGCTGGACTGCAGAGGTTGCCTACCCCTGCATTAGGGTCTAGATTCACGTATAGAAAAGACATTAGAAGTAAATGAATACATCGAAGGTTTGCTGTGCAGGAAGAAGCATGCCCAGAAAGCCTGAACACATCATAGAGCACAGCTGGCCGTGATTTACTGCAGACAGTAACATTGAAAAAAAGCAAAAATAGTAGCCAAAGCCTAAATGCTGGTTATAAACCAACACAGTACACGTATGCACGTTCACGTGTTCGCATGTTTAATAAAAACAAAGACGGTACTCACCGCTCTGAATACAGTCAACTTTTCGCATTCCTAGGACGCCGGTCGGCTCTTGTTTTGCTGAATGTTCCTACAAAAGATATTGTCATATTTAGAGACTCCACCCAAGCTAGTGGTTAGGAGAAGAGGGGGGAAAAAAAGTTTGAGGGCTGACTGTCCAAGTGGAGGGGCCGGCCAGACAGGAAAATCAGCCTTCATGGTGGACTCACCTCTGGGTGTTCTGCAGGTTGTTAAACAAAGTGGCCCCGGGGGGTCTTCTCTGGGGCCGGCCGCTTCTCTGTGTCCTGTCCTGCTGCTTCTTCACTTAATCAGAGCTTCCCAGCCTAGACGCTGCCAAGTCTTCCTGGAGGGCTGGAGTGTTACATTTGGCTCCTGCTTGTGACTTCTTCAGCCTGGCCGGGTATCTTATTCTTTGCTCTGCGCTGATCACAGACCTGCAGGCAAACACTGGCACAAACATTCACTCCAACGGAAAAAGGAAGACATTGTAACAAGTCTGTCGCTGCAAATGCATGTGCTTCCCCCCTGGCCCCCATGCGCGCTTGTTACTGTGCGCGCAATTGTGTTCATTGCCTTATAGAGTTCAAAAGCAAGGTACTTTTCCTCATGTAGTCGCCGATACTGATTTTTAGGGTCATGTGACAGTTTTTCTAAAACAATACAGAATAATGATTTTAGGACACTGGTGGAGTGCCAGGGCCCGGTCACAGCTGCAACCACTGCGACCCTGGTAGTTCCAAGCTGTAGAGGGACTACAAATCTCAGCAATGCATTATGCAGCAATGCAGAATGGCACCAGCTATAGAGGACTACAAATCCGAGCAATACATTATACAGCAATGCCGAATAAACCCAACTATACAGGACAACAAATCCCAGCAATACATTATACAGAAATGCAGGATGAATTGCCGGCATGGTGGCCTGATGTCTTCAGGGTCTCAGGTGGGCTGTGGGGGGTCTGAGTTGGGTTGTGCAGGGTCTCCAGTGGGCTGTGCGGGGTCCCAGGAGAGCTGTGCAGGGTCTCAAGAGAGCTGTGCGGGGTCTCAGGTGGGCTATGCGGGGTCTCAAGTGGGCTGTTTTGGGTTTCAGAAGACCTGTGTGGAGTCTCAGGAGGACTGTGCAGGGTCTCAGATGGGCTGTGCAGGGTCTCAGGTTGGCTGTGTGGGGTCTTAGGCGGGCTGTGCGGGGTCTCAGGAGAGCTGTGCGGGGTCTCACCAAGGGTCCGGTGGATGTGGGCAGCGGAAGCACTGTAAGCAGCACTGCTTGGTTCCCCAGTAAGGAGGAGATGTGTGGCTGGCACTGCAGAGGTCCCCAGGAAGTGCAGGACCTCCGGCAGCTGCTTCAGTTTAAATGTAAAGCTCCGGTATTGGCATTTGGGATGGGGGAGTACTTGTACTCATAAAACTGCCCCGTATCAGCAGCGATATTGGTAAAGATTTAAACCCTGAGAATAAAAGCTGATCATTGAAAGCACTAGATTTACTGGCAAGATCAACAGGGGATAAAACTATGTTACGGGGGGACTTAGAAAACCAAAAACTGCTCCACTAATGCTGGTGAAGGAACTGAATCCCAAACTTTTTTTCAGTTATGTATATACTTTTTTTTTTGGTAATTGGGGAGAATTCCCTTTGCTCCCTGCCCGTTAACCACAACAGAAAGTGAAAGGAAGCCCCTCCAAAGAGAGGGAAATCCCTGGTGGTCACAAAAACTAATGTCCCCATTGGAAGATTTCCCATCTATTTCTGTTCTGATAACAACCCAAAATTTGGGTTTATCTTTCAGTGATAACGGTCACCAGTAGGGGGTGCACCGATACCAACACTAGTATCGGTATTGGTGCGGATGCCGAGTATTTGGATGAGTACTCGTACTCGCCCCAAATGCTCCGATACCTAGTCCGATACTTGAGCTTCCGGTATCACAAAGCCGGGCAGCGAGTCATTACACGCTCCTCATCACTTGTGCATGAGCATGTAGCTGGCTTACCGGCTAGAAAGACGGCTCCATGCTTTCTTGTCAGCTAGTGACGAGAAGCCTGGAGACAGCTTCCCTGCTGATTGGGAAACCGGGTGGCGAGTTTTTACACGCTGCCCGGCTTCAAGGCTAATTAGGAAGCCATGTGTCGTCATTTCACGCCGCCTGGCTGCCTTAATGGGACTTCCGGTATCGGTATCCGGTATCGGCGAGTACAGGAAAAAATATATTGGTACTCGTACTTGATACCGAAAAACCGGCATCGGGGCATCCATAATCACCAGGACAAATAGGGACACAGACAGCAATAAAAACCTGACAGGTGTTCTAATCCCTCTCTACTCTAGTCACAGCTAAAAAAAAGAAGTTTTGCCTTCAGTTGCCCTTTACCTGGTCATGGTCAACGTGATCGGGAGTGCGATGAGAGTGTTCCCCTGCCTACATATTCTGTGTTAAAAGTTGTCCCTCCTTCCCATCCTCGACAGTTCGAAGGCATGAAGAAGGTATAAAGTGGGGCAAGAGATTGAGGATGAGATGGGGGATGAAGTCTCTACCTATTGTCTCCCTGGTCCTGTGCACCGGGCAGCGGCGTCCTTTTAGAATCCTTATGACTCCCCTGACCATTGGAAGATCGTTGTTCTTGTTGTCTGCAGCCCGCCTGCCTTGTGTTGGGGAATGCGGCGTATCCTGCATGCCATCACACTCACCTGAGCGGAGAAATCCTGACTCTTCCAGGCCACTTCCTATATTCAGCCGTTCTTCGCATATCTCACAACAACACCGATGAAGCAAGAAGACAGAGGCGGGTTGTCTTCACACAAGGTTACTCGGGACACCCCGGATGGCCCCTTGTTGTTCCTTGTGATATAAATAGCACAGCGCTATCACATTCCGAGGCCACTGTAGTTTTCCTGGGAGAAGGAAGTTTCAGGGATAGAGGGCCTTGTGTTTCAGATGAACTCTGTATACTGTATATATATATATACAATGTTGCAGCACTGCACTTACGTCTTCTTTTCTATATATTAACCCTTAGGCCTCCTTCACATTGCTTAGAGTCGGCCAGGACAGATCCGTGCGGCTTGCGTGGCCGTATCGGGGCATTCCCAGGAAAGCCAGGTGCAGCGTGTGATTGTACGCAGCAGCCTGTTCTTCTCTATGGGAGTACGCGGCCTTACGCTGCTGTACGCTCACCCCAACTGCACATCCGTGCGGGTGTCCGTGCATGGATGCAGAGAGGATCCATCCTCTCGGTGAGTGTAAGGCCGTATTGGGTGAGCGTAAAGCCGCATACTCCCATAGAGAAGGACAGGGGCTGCGTACAATCGCAAGCAGCACCTGTCCTTCCCGGGCGGGAGTGGTCCAATACGGCCGTGCACACCGCACGGATCTGTACGGGCCGGCTCTTAGCTTTGTGAATGAGGCTTTCAAGTCCATTCACCAGTTGTCATGAAGCTGCATACAGAATAACCCTCCGTCCTGTTGACTGTGAACCCGTATGGTCAGAGGATATTTGTAACGGGTAATACTTTGTATCTCTATGACCCGAAACTGTTACTGTTGCTCTGGAACTATTGGACTTTGTAACCATTTTGCAAAAAGAGGACGTAAATGCTGCAACATTGGTGTGTTGAATTTGGATATTGAGACCATGGTGGGGTCTTTGTTGATGAAACTATTAGAGAGACAGATGGATTCAATACAATGTTACATATATATTAGTATATTGGAGCTGAGCAGGACACCAGCCAGAGCGTCCCGCCCAGCTCCTGGCAACTAGTGACATCAGTGGTTGAGTGGGATGTCAGCCAGAGCATCCCAGGTTACTAAGAGCCAGGTGGGGAGACTTATATGGCCCTTACACGTCTCCTCACCCGGCTCATAGTAACCTGGGATGTTCTGCCTGGAAAGGGGGCAGAGGATGCTCAGGAAAGTACAACTGCTTTACTTCAACCCCCTAGACAAAAAAAAAAACAGGTCCCATTGCAAGGATACTTTTTTGTTTGCCTGCCATGTGAGATGCTCCTCAAAGAGATGCCGCCTGAGGCAACTGCCTCATTATAGGGTCGGCTCGGCATTTCTCAGAATGGCTTTTCTGATGGTGTCAATAGTGGACTAAGCCTCCATTGTGGCTGCTTGTATTGTCCATTAGGAGAATGTGTGACAGGGTGGCAACGCAGGAGCACAATTGAGAAACACAATTGAGTGTTGTCACCTCATAACAGGAAGCACCCAGACAAGAACCTTCATGGCAGGATCACCCGTTGTGATTGTAATGAAAGCTGCAGATTTATAAAAAAAAAAAATTGCAAATTATTTTCCAAACGTATTAAAGCTTATATGAGATTTTAGTCGTTAAGTTTACTTCTTCGCTACTTGTCTCTTACATACAATATAAGCTATTGAGTTATCTTCAGCACACACAGAGAGAAGAAGCATTTTTTTTTTCAGAAAGGCACGCTGTTCTATTCATGAGTAACAATAGTCTTCACCGCAAGACAGGCAAGAACACACACCGATGGATAAACAGACAAGCAAGAGCGCGCAGTTCACCAAGAATGCGCACTGATGAAAGCCTAACCCACAATGCAATTCACATCCGTGGAAGAAAACAAGAGACGGAGAGGTTGTCTGGTATGAAATAACCAAAGAGAGAATAAAACACATCGAATTGTGTACATCAAACTCCGTCTCCCAGCACCCAGGCTCACGTTTTGGCAGCCGCAAGTTCTATGGAAGTTCAAACGTGACAACCGGGGAGAAGAAAGACAATGAGCGTAAAGTCTTTTCTTGGGCTAGAGCAATTGAAACATTTCTGCTATGGGACTATTGATTCACCAATAATTTGTCATTGTGATTACTTAAGATAACAAAGTAATTTACAACAAATATATAATTTACAATGTTATATATATATATATATTAGTATATTGTATATTGTACA